TCCTGTTAAGTAGCTGACATTTTCTTTCAGTACTGAAATAAATTTGAGCGTTCCATAGCTTTTAGAGACAGAAATTCTCTGTAGCATTGGCAAGGGGTTGGACTCTCTCTCATAGGGTTCCTTCCAGCTCTGCAGTTCTAAGATGATGATGATGGATGATGATAGAGTCTCAGCTCCTGACTTACTTTTAATGTAATGTTAGGGATTTTGATTTTATATTGTAAGGTATTCTGTTGTTTTAGTGGTTTGTTGGGTCCCCCCCCATTTCTGTTGGTGTTCCCTGTAACTTATTAGGTTTACTTATTTTCTCTTCAAACACCACTTTATTTCTTCACCTGTTAGCTGTTTTTATATGCAGTGTGGCTTAAATAGTAATACTGATGAGAATATTTTAATTGGAGGCTACCTCTGTTTTCCAGGCAGTGTGGAGAGGATGTGCATACAGCGTGTATGTGGGCTGAGATATAAAGTGAGGTCTTTGAGAGATTAATTTGTCAGTTAACATTAGAAATGTCTCTGGGTTGGAGGAGGATGTTAGGGCTGTTTGGATAATGGCAATGAGCTTTCAGGGTCTATAAGGGGAAAAGCACTAGATTACTCTGGCATGGCGCAGCTTGGAAGATATCCAGTAGAAACCTGAATCCTTTCCAGGAAAATAGGCTTCTGAATGTGCTGACTCTAAAAAGAGAACATTAGAAGCTAATTTGTCCATGGTTTATAAGCACATTGTGCTTTTAATTTGATCCTTTTTAGATATGTAGGGAGGGGATTTGAGCTTGCCATCAATGTATAAGATCTCTCTCGCAGGAAAAGGCATGGAAATCAATGGGAAAGCTAAAACTTTTTCATGTTTCCTTTCATTCCCCTCCCCATTTCCTTTGAAATATACCAAATATCAGGCTGGTCTCTTTCTCTCTCTCTCCCCCCCTCTCCCCCAACGTGATAGATACACCTTACATTAAATGCATACATGTTTGTATATTTATGGATGAATACAAATTACATGAGTCTCTTGTCAAGCGTGAAGGATGTGCATGTGGAAAAAAAACCTGGCATGTACCTATAAAGTACTCCTAAGGGTTAGGCTCCTGCTTCCATGGTTTTCAAAGCTAGATGCACCACATTCTGCAGGCGCGCGCTTTTGTTTAGAAGCAAGGGTTGGGTATCCGTATCAGAGTACTAGATGGAAACTGAGAAATGGCCCTCAGTTCAAAAATCTTGATGAGGGTGTTTGATTCCAGAAAATTAATTTGTAAATGCTTGCCTTAATTTCACTTGCCTTTTAAGAGATAATTAAATGCTTTATTTAAGATAATATATTGATGCCCTATGCTGGTGTTGTTACAACAGAGTCCAAGAGTTCTCAGCTGCTGATCACCTGGATTCCTTTTGTAGGCTTGTAACATGACAATGTGTTGGCATAATGCAGTCAATGGATAGCGGTTGCCAGATACCTCTATCCAGTTTGTTATCCCACACCCTGTTATTGATCTTTTGGGCCACTCATGGCATATCTTGCATTGTTTGTACTAGCTAGCCAGGGTAGTTGGGAGGTAGGGCTACATCATATCAGGTACATGCTACATATTTTAAGAACTTGGACAGACAGGATGGGATAATTGGCACACAGCAACTGAACATTACCCAGTCATAAGTTGGTATGCATGTTTTTTAAGAGACAGTGAGGCCTCTGGGGCTGTCTGAGAAGATCCTAGACCTCGAAACCTCCTTGTAGGGTCCATACCCTGCCTATGATACAACCCCTTTCTGCTTTCTCTTGCTTTGCACACTGCATGCGGAATGAGAAAAAGGTTCCATTTGAGCTCTGAGAGCTGCTGCCTAGAGGATCTCCTTTTTTGTAGATATGGTCTGCCTGATGTGCCTGGTTTTGTAGCAAGTGTAATTCTGAGATATGTAGGCAAGTGAAAGCTTGCCTTGTCTGTGAAAGCTTCCAGGCTTTGGGAAGTGTGGAGTTTTGTCCTACTATGCTTTGAAATACCATGATGAGAAACTGGGTATGGGGAGGAGATACACTACTTCAGATTGCCGGGGTGGTTGGGCCAGAATGCCACCCCACCAGGAGTCTTCCTCTCAAGTGTTTTATTGTACTCCCTCTCCCTTTTAAGCCCTATTCACAAGGCCCTGGCTGGTTCAGGTAGTTCCCATACGGTGCCCCTGTGGCAGTTGGAGGTATTGTGGTTGCCAAGGAGGTGGTGGATGGCAGTCTTCTTGTGGAGCTGATAGCAGGATGCAGCTGAATGCTTGGACAATAGTCTTTAAAGGAATATTTCTCTGCATCTCAAATTATGGCCTGGCAACCCTGCTTGTGGCTTTATGGTTAATGGCAGGGTTGAACAGGAGCCAGCCCTTTGATAACTTTCTGAAGAACTGTCTTGGTGCATCTTCTGTGGCTAAGACATTCGCTCTGCTTTCAGCAGAAGCCAAACACTGTCTGGTTATTCCAAAACTGTAGTAAGTGAGTAAATTGTAAACCCTAGTCCTTTGTGTGCTTGGTTTGGATCCAGGGTGAAGGTGAGAGCCAGTTACACTGCTGTCTCCTATGACAGACAGAAAGACAGACAGACAGACAATTTTTCCACATTTCCACGATGTATTATACAAACTTTTTTTCTGATAATGAATTTTAAAGGTCAAGAATTAGAGTTCAGAGTTGTAGTTTAGATAATAGGCAGGAGAATGTGGAGGAGCTTTTTGAAAGGGATGTTTTTGGTAATGAAGTTGACCCCCCCCCACACACTCCTCCTCAAACCATTCTTAAAGGTAGGAGGAGAAAGGAGACAGTAAAGTGAGACTCCATTTGCTTAAATAATATGTGTTTTTTTGAAAGCGAAAGCATGTTTCAAAGTCATTCTCAGAATTCTACATAATGGGGGGAAGGGGGAGGAAAGGGGGGCTGTCAGCACCGGGTGTGAAATAAAGCAGGTCCCTGTTGGAATGGAATGAGCACCAGCCATTTCTTCCCTCTGCCCACTTTCTTTGGGTCCCCCACCTTTCCTCTTCAGTAGCATCGACTCACCATCTACCCCACAATGGTTGGTATAGTAAAGAGCTTGATGCAGTCCTGGCTGAGGTCAAGCATTCCAATTCTAACCTCTCAAGGGCTTTTCTCTATGTGTTGCCAGTGTACTGGTAAAAATGACTTTAAACTCTTGTCAGCGCAGTTACTGGTGCATGCATCACAGTCCCACTCAAATAAACCTGTCACAACACAGAGTCAGCAGCTAGAGAAGAGTACAAGGGCAGGCCTCTAGCTTTTCATTCGAGCATCACTAAACGTGCACAGAGTGCCCAATTATTTCAGCATTATTGAGCAAGCCTACAGGAGGACCCAAGCTTTGCTACATTAGATTTTCTTTAGTAATTTGCTCAAGTACCGCTGAGGACACTTAAAGGACTTAAAGCGGTGGCTGCAACCAGTTTCCTTTTCTGGATTGTTAATTCAGGTTTTCCTCTTTCAAATTAACTCGTGCTGCATGCTGTGTGGCAGCTCTGGGAGAACTGTTTAACACTAATTTTCTCAATTTTCAGCTTTTTTTTTTAAAGGAAAGAAACATCATTACTGCTGCTTTTGTATTTAACTCACGTGTTTTGATTAGGCATGTGTATCTGCGTGCAACTGCTCCTGGCCGTTTAATGTTATATTTGAAATTATCAGAATGTGGTTTTGGGGTGAGGTGGAAGCTATGTCCAATAATAATAGAACAAAGCTTGATAATGGTGCAAACTTCGTCCCTTCCTCCCTGCATTTTGCCCTCAAAAGAAAGCTCTTGAACTGGGGCACTGTGTGCTAACATGGTTTCCAAACAGCAAGGATTGTGGTCTTTGGCCATGAGAAACGTTTGGACTCCTCATATGTCCCTGCCTTTCCTGATGTACTTCCCTTTAAAAAAAACTTGTTGATTAATGCAGTGTTTCCCAAACTGTGCACTGTGGCTTGGCGGGGCAACAGGATGTCCACGCAGGGCTACCACGGAATCCTCTCATCCAAAGTTTTGTATAGCACTTACTTGCATTTTCTCTGCTATCTGTGTATTGTGGACAAAGGGAGCCCTGGCCCAGGACTGGTTTTTCTGCCTTCCTGTTCACAAGGGAGCCTTCCCTGCCTACCTGCCCAAAAATGCAGCTTCTCTTGGAGAAGTCAGGCTATCTGAGCATTTCCTTTAAGCTATCTGTACAGTATAGTCATGCCCCGCTTAGCGATTACCCCACACTACGACGAATCCACTTCACGACGATGTTTTTGCGATCACAATTGTGATCGCAAAATGATGCTTTAAATGAGTTTTTTTTCACTTTGCAAAGATCGGTTCCCTGCTTCGGGAATTGATTCTTCACATTACGACAATCAAAACAGCTGATTGTCGGGTTTTCAAAATGGCCTCTAGGTGCTCAAAATGGCTCCCCGCTGTGCTTAGGGATAGATTCCTCGCTATACAGGCACCAAAAATGGCCGCCGTATGGAGGATCTTTGCTGGACAGTGAGTTTTTAGCCTATTGGAACACATTAACTGGGTTTTAATGCATTTCAATGGGTTTTTTATTTTCGCTTTACGACGTTTTCACTCTACAGCGATTTCACTGGAACGAATTAACGACTTTAAGTGAGGCACCACTGTATGGTATATAGTCTCTGGTTCCAACTAGTGGTCTGTCTTAGTAATACACCTGGAAAGGTGTATTCTTGTATTTTTTTCCTTATTTTTTATTTTTTTAAGGAGTGTTTAAGTGAAACCGTGGGTACTGATCCCGTGGATATGGCAGTCCTACTGTATTGGGAAGCCGTGGGCAATGGGCAGTAAACAAAGGTAGCCACAAGTCAAAAAAGTTTGGGAACCACTGGATTAATTCATAGCAAATCAGGACCATTGATTGGGTGACAGCCCTTGAAAGCATCCAAATGCAGGGTGGCACACAGTTGATCACATTTTAAGGTTTTCTCTTTTGGAACAAATTCAACATCTGTGTCTCATTTTTCACAGCAGCAGCAACTCCAGGCCCAGCATTTATCACATGGACATGGCCTCCCAGTGCCTCTCACTCCACACCCTTCAGGATTGCAGCCACCAGCCATCCCTCCCATTGGCAGCAGCGCTGGCCTTTTAGCCTTGTCGAGTGCCCTTGGGGGACAGTCCCATCTCCCGATCAAAGATGAAAAGAAGCATCATGATAATGATCACCAAAGAGGTAGGACTGGTTTCACTGGCTTCCTTTGCTTTGAATGCACATCCTATCCCTTGGGGGGTGGGTGGCATACCATTTGGTGAGCTTCACCAACTGTCCAGAAGTTTCCAGCTCTTGGAAACAGCCCACCCATCCTGCTTTGCCATCTTTTATTTAGAAAACTCTGTATGTGAACTTGTGAATCAGTAATGGGTGGTTAGTGGCTTTCTAAATATTTTTGGACTACAACTCCTGTCAGCATGGCCAGTGATGATAGATGATGATAGCCACCATCTTGCATCATATAGGCAGCCATATGTTGCCCACATGGTAGCCGGCCATCTCCTCCTGTTCTTTCAAGTCTTTTCCAGGAACACATGCTTTTCAGGTAGAATTTTGGCTTGTCTCCCTTCACTGGGGGTCAGTGAGCATTGGGAGTCCAAAGACTGTCATCCTGGGCCCCCATAAGGGGTGCATCAGTCACTCCAAGTAAAGTAGAAAGTGACCAGAAAACCACTTCTGGTTTCGATTTTTAAGAAGGGGAAATAAAAGCCTTTTAGTTAAAAGAACAGATACTTTGCTGAAAGAAAGTATCTCTCTTCTCTTTAGAGGAGAATCATGCTCCCTAGAGGCATAGTTCTCCTTTTAAAAAATGCAAAAACAAATTCAACAGAAATATGTCGTGGGTTCCCCCCCTCTTGCACTCAGAAAATGTTTTTGGTGGGCTACATCTAGTGGGCCAAAGTCCCCCAACCCATCCTGCTTAAGAGATTGCTTTGGTTGTGGATATTAAGACATAAAGACGCAGCATGATGCCAAAGAACTGCTATCTCCACTGTTTGGAGAACAAAAATTCTAGGTTGAACCAGACTCCCACGTTACAGTATTTCTAAGTTTTAATGAATTGGACAGCTATTCAAAAGACAGATTCAAGCTGTCCAAGCTAATTGTACAATGTTAATACAAATTAACTCTACAGAAGAGTTAATATTGCTGAAGTTTATTTTTAATGATGGGGCTCATGTTTGCTACTGTAATTGTTGTTGTTCTGGAGATAGAAGAAATTTAAGCTATAAATAAAATAATATATTAAAAAATAATGTATATTTCTGTCTTTTTCCTTTCTTGCCTACTCCTGTTGCTGCTGCTGTTCTACATAAAGACAGAGACTCCATAAAGGTAAGACTGCCATTTCATAGGAGGAAGGAGTAGCTTAAAGATATTGGAGTGCATTTGATTACAGTTGAGCTAAAGCTCAAATGGTATAACAGTAATTGGTTGGTGATGCCCTTATTGATTAGCACAGTCTTGGGTAGCCTGTTCCAAAAATGCTACATAAGAGAGACGTCTATCTGAATGTCCCCCCTGCCAATAACCTGAAAGGAGACACAAGCTTTGGGTGGCAGGGACACACAAGTCATGCGTACCACATACTGTAGCCAAGCCCACAGCTACTGCCATCCAGAGTGACAATGTTTCAAAGCTGTTCTGATGCACATGTCTGTACTTGGAGCATCAAACATGGAGAGTCTTTTCCTTTTCCACATCATGCTGTCAGCAGGGAAACATTTCCAGAGGAAGTGCCAGGGAGCATGATCTTGTCATGCCGCAACAGCAAGGGACAGGGTGGGCTCCCACAGCCCCCTAACATTATTTCTTCCCAGTGCATGAGGTGGAATCCTGTAGAACCCCCCACAAATAAAATCTGAACGGCTATTGGATGTCTGACATTGACTCATATTTAAGTACTTCTTTCTGGTTGGTTGATTGTTGATAAATAAACACAGTGTTCTTACCAGAAACTTACCAGGTGATAAAAGACATGTGGACATGAATCGATACGTGCAGACCCTCTTGAATGACATGGTGTTTTAGAGAAGACTGTGCTTGTGGGAGTTTCCATGCTTTCCTCAACTTCTTAAATCACCTTTTCATTCCCATTTGCTGCTCTGTAGAAGTTGATGTAACAGAGAGAATACAATATGGGCTTGTATCCCATCTGTTAAATGATTGTCTGGAGTGACTCCCATAATTTGAGGCTAGTAATGAATATTTTCACTGGAATTAGTGTTGGTGCCTTGAGGCTTTTTGATATTTTAGCATAAATTAGTTGTACTGAAACATGGCCTTTCAGATCTTTGAGTATGAAAGGCATCCTAAATGTGAGCACTAATCTGCTGTCAAGCAGGAACTAAGACAGATGCCTTTCTAACAGGATCTTCTAACCAACTTTTACATTGTTGCATGCTGGTAAATAGAATATTGGAGCTGGTCTTATATGCCTGATGAGAGAGTGTCTCATTGTTTTTATTTTCAAATATGTTTTCTGTCAACTATCCAAAAGGGGTCTGCCTCTAGCGGCAACCGAGGTGACAAAATACTAAAACAACCCAATTTTTTTAAAAGCTAGAACTGCCAAATTAAAATTAACACTGCTATATCCCCAATGCAGTAAAATAAGTTGAGCCAGAAAAGAAATACAACTCCCCTTTTAAAAAGAAGAGATTTCACTAATAGTCTCAAAGACACCTATGAAATGAGCCAACTCCCATAGCATAAGGGAGAGCAGAACTTAACCATTTCACTCCAGAAAGTTTTGGCCAGGCGTAGATTCTGCAGTCAGGCCTCTGGTACAACAGCTAAGCAAAAGTTTTGGCCAGGCGTAGATTCTGCAGTCTACAACAGCTAAGCAATAGTAGTACAGGGGTGCCTCGCTTGACGACATTAATTTGTTCCAGCGAAATCGCTATAGAGCGAAAACGTTGTCAAACAAAATTAAAAAACCCATTGAAACGCATTGAAAACCGTTCAATACATTCCAATGGGCAGAATGCCTGCTCGTCCAGCGAAGATCTTCCATACGGCGGTCATTTTCGGTGCCTGTATAGCGAGGGATCCGTCCTAGAAAACAGCAGGGGGCCATTTTGAAAGCTGACGCTTTTGAAAGCCGGCAGCCATTTTGAAACCCGACGCTCAGCTGTCTGCTGATAGTCGTAAAGCAAAAACTCGGTTCCCGAAACAGGGAACCGATCAACGTGAAGCAAAAAACCCAATCTAAACATCGTTTTGCAATCGTAAAAACTTCAACATTAAGCGGATTTGTCATTAAACTGGGTAATCATCCACCGGGGCACGACTGTACAATAATAGTACAGCAGCTAAGCAATAATGTGTTCAGCATTTCAGGAGGCTTAAAATATAAGAAACTGCCCAGTTTGGCTTAAGCAATAATGTGTTCAGCATTTCAGGAGAAAATATGAGAAACTGCCCAGTTTGGCCAAGTGGTGGTACAAGTTGTGGTGCATTCGCCTCTCATGTATTGTAGTTTGGGCCCAGAATGGGGCTGCATACTTAAATTCTTTGCCATGACAGCTGCTTGTGGTGAATAAGAGCTTAAGTCAAGACCCCACTGTACTTAAATTCTTTCCCATGACAGCTGCTTGTGGTGAATAAGACAAACTTGAGGATTCCCATCAAAATTGAAGTTGTGGAGAGGAGGGGGAGGCAGTGCCCATCTTTGTAGTCTCTCTGTGTAAGCAGAGAGCCAAAGCAAAGGTTGACTTTCATCCACTTGTCTCTGTTTGTCATGGAATTTGAAGGTCTTAATGCTAGGAATGGAGTAATGCCTCTACCATTTTCCACTGACTGAAACCTAGGGAGCTGGTATAGACGCCTCAGTTTCCTTGAGGTATGGATATATACAGACAACAAAGCCTTTTTGGTTACCGCTGAGAATTAGTCAAATTCTGGCCCAGAACAAATAACAAAGATTCAGGTTCTGGTGGTTGTTGTGGGTTTTTCAGGCTCTTTGACCGTGCTGAAGGTGGTTCTTCCTAACATTTCGGCAATCTTTGTGGCCGACATCTTCAGAGGACAGCACTCTGTGCTCTGGAGTGCTGTCCTCTGAAGACGCCGGCCACAGAAACTGGTGAAACTTTAGGAAGAACAACCTTCAGAACACGGCCAAAGAGCCCGAAAAACCCACAACAGCCATTAGATCCCAGCCGTGAAAGCCTTCGCGAATACATTCAGGTTCTGGACTTCCTGAAGCAACCCTCTCATGCCAATGGAAAGCTGTGGTTCCATCCTGGATTTTAAGGTGTAACTTCTCCCCATTCCTACATGGCAAGGAGTTCTAAAGACAGGGGAGAGCCAAACTCACTGCTCCCAACCACCTCACCTCAAATGACAGCTGACTGTAAGCAAACCCAGCTCTGTAGGTTTCAGTACCTTTAGGAGTAGAATTATCTGATAGCCTCTGGATGTTTTAGATTGCATCACTCACCAGTAGTGGCCACTAGTGAGGAATAATGGGTGCTGAACTCCAGACATCTGAGTGGGGTGTGTTTGTGAGAGAGACAACTGCAACTCTGTTCTCATTTGCTTTGCTTGATGGGCTGATGGGAGTTATAGTCTAACAACATTGGGAAGTCTACAAGAAAAAGCCCAGCATCTGTAAGAAAATTCATCTTTCACTTGGGTTCAGAAATAAATGAGAAGCCAACACAATTCTCCAAATGTAAATGTAGTGTGTTTTCTAGGGTCAACAAGGGTTAAAGAATCTGGCCACTGTGTTTTGGTTTAGCTGAACTGACAATCATTTTTTTAAAGGCTGTCCCAAACAGAAATAAGTTACGGATAATTACGAAGCATAGTATCTGTGTAGGTTTTATTAGAGTACAGGCGAATGGAGAGTACCATTCACAGTGCCTCTTTACTCACTGCATGTAGCTGGTGTTATAGTGTATTCTATTACAGTGGCACATTCAACTAAACATAAAGAATATGATAGTATAGGATCATGAGCAGAGGGAGGCATGGTGCTATGGAGAGGAAGAATAAGATTTGTGAGAATTATCACCTCTGCTGATTCTGTCCCCAACCAGTAGTTTCCTGCCAAACTGTTTGTGGTTTGGAACTGGCTCTTATTAATTCTGAGTTGCATTGTAGAATGGCTCTCATTCATGACTTCCTTATTGGAAGCCGCCCAGAGTGGTCGACCAGACCAGATGGGCAGGATATAAATCAAATAAATAAATAAATAAATAAAAATAAAATAAAAATTATGTTTGAAAGGGCTGAATTGTTGTGAGAACACCAAGACTTGGTGGGACAAGCCGGCTCAAGTTGATTTCTTACTACAAAACTAACTTGTGGGCTTGATGATCCATAGAGTCTCTTCCAGCTCTGCAGTTCTAAAATGATTATGATGATGATTATATGAGGAAGGGAGGTTGCTGTCATAGGGAAATCCATCTTCCTGTGAGGAGACCATTTGTCTCAGCTCCTGGGCTTGAGTGTTTTTACTTTATGTCGTACTTAAGATGAATGTGGGCTGGGTTGGTGTGTCATTCTTCCCATTTTCTATTTGTATCCTTGGCTAAGTTAGCTGTGGTAAGTTTCTGGTATGATTTTAAAAGGTGTGGGCTGACAACCAGCCTGAGTCTATCTCAGTATGCTATTGGCTTAACACACTTTCCAGGAAAAAAAAGAATCTTAATCTGGTGGTCTCAGGTGAATGGAAGCTGGATGTCATAAATGAACAAGGGAGAAAGATTGCTGTGAACTTGGTGTCATGGTCAAATACAGTGGTGCCTCACTAGACGATGTTAATCCGTTCCACTGTAGTCGCTGTTTAGCGAAATCATTGTCT